TGCACGGATGAGATTCTCATGTTTCAGTTGCTGTTATCTCTCTGCCCTTTGCTCAGTGCTTACCAGCTGACACCGTTTATGACCACTGAATTATGATGTGTGTGTGTGTTTAAGCGAGGAGACGAAGCCGGTTAGTTAGAAATGACTTGAGAAAGACTGATCTTGCTGTCGTTAGCTTTCGGGACAGCCGTGCTTTGAAGGTTTCCGGTATGTATCTGTCATCATTTGATATAGATGTGTGTACAGACCATTGGATGCGTGTGTTTACAAATGCAAGTGTGTATTTGTACAATGGTCTAAAGCACAACTTTAGACATTTGTACTGCACAGTCAAACGTCGTGGTTTGGTGTGCCCATAACAACTGAAGTAATGCCAAATAACAGACTGACTCACTATTTACATGGACAAAATTGGATTGTTTCAAAGACAACACGAGTTAACAGCAAAACTGGTTGTATTACAGGTTATGTCATGTTTTTATTTTAGTGTCGGGATCGGTTTAATTTCTCAGATGCGTTTCTTTTTAGTAGTGTTGAAATGTGTGTTATTTATTTAGAAAAAGACAGTTCTCATCCATTTTTATTTGAAAATGAAGCACATTTATCATCCTTCATGTGTCAAGTGCACGTGGTAAATGTGGTAAAGGTTTGTGGTTACATTTTAATCTGCAATGTTAACTGAGAAAGTGTTTCCAGGGTGTGGTCGATTTCAGGTTAAAGTCCCTATCAAACCTATAATATACACTCTCGATAACTACTGGCTGTGCTCGGCCTACACAGAGGTGCAGTACATCAATTATTCCACTAGATGGAAGAAGAGATCGCTTTCCTTTTAGTTTGAAGGCAAAATATACGGAGTATAATTTGTATTTATACACCAAGTTTAAGTGAAGACACAGCCAAATCAAACGCCTAACTATTTTTCTTTTTTTCTTCTTCTTATTTTTAAATATTTAGTATAAGACCCAAGTGACATGTGCAATGATACACAGAGAGATGAGCTATAAATAATGGAAAGCAAGAAAAATAAACAAATAACAGAGAATGAGTAAAAGTGAGAAGTGATGAGATAATAGGCAGAGTCATTGTCAAATAATTTCCCAAGTGTACTCCTCCTACTTCAGCACAAGCCCAGCACTATTTTTTATCCAATGAGAAAAGGCTATGAGAAGAGTCTCTTTTTGTGATTGGCCTAGAGTTTGTGTGACCCCTCCCTTCCTGAGGAGTTGGAGAGAGTTCACTGTTAGTTTTTTTTTCCCAACCACACTTACATTAGTGCAGACTAGAAGGAGCTGTCTGCCACCGCCGCTGCTGCTGCTGTGCAATTCTTTGTCTGCTTAGGCGTCTTAGTTGCTTTAGTTTTGCCCTACATTGAGTAAAGACAAGTGGATCAGACTAAGCAACATGTGGACTGCACGTCCACAGAAAGAGCAGGTTGGTAATGTGTCCCTCTGACTCTCTGTTTGTTTTTGTGTCTGCTCTGTTCTATTTGCGTCCAGGGGCTTTGGGAGATAAGTATCTGTGACACTCTTTGGTTTTGGGTTATCACTGGAATCATGGACAAGAAATGTACAGTGGATTATACTGGAGTACTGCTGAACAAGTTGGATTAGTTCTTTTTGAGCTGCAGCAGAGAAAATACGTGGTTAATGTGCATTTGACTGTTTCTGTTCCTTGTCACAAAATGATATATGCTGTACTAAGATTTAGTCACAAGTAAAGTGTAAAATGTAAAGAGTGGGTGCTATAGTGAGGCGTGAAGATGAATCTCCTGATCTTTTTGTTGTTTACTTTGTACCAGTGTAATGCTGTGACAAATAATGTTTTACCTGTTGCATAAGACTTCACAGGTGTGCCTGTGTGCATGTCTGTTTGTGTGTTGTCCTGATGTCCCCTTTCTCATGCCTTGTGGGAAAACTGGTTGCTGCAGCTGGAATGTCATGGGAAGACTGCAGATATTTTTTTTCCTGCTGTTCGCCCATAGAAAACCAGCCTCCTCCCCTCTGCAGTTCTTCTGTTGTCTTTGCAACAGATATACTGGATACTGACCTCTGGGATTCAGTGACCTCAATACTTTTTGTTGTGGTGCCAGCATGATCAAACAGTAAACCTTATTACTGTTATTCCTGCCTGAGGCTTTAAATGCATGCGTTTAAGTTTATCGACCTAAGTCTATCTGTTTTCTTGCTGCGTTTGCTGTGTGATGTATTTGTTATTAAGTATTTGTTGGACGGTAAGAAAAATACTGAGCTGAAGATTTCTTGGGTATGATCTTTGCTATAACCACCCACCATTCCTTTAAAGTAAAAAAGTAGCATAATAAGTTTTGCATCATTGCAGTTTGCTGCCTAGAAGGGACAGGGGGGGGAATCAGTGTTGTTAGCAAGGTTCTCAGATTTAGTACTACAAATTAAATCCAGATGTGAACTTCTGGCTTGTGTA